CTCCATATATTCTGTCTCGCGGAGAAAAAAATCAGAGAGAAAGTTTCATCGCGTTTTACGATATAGATCCGCCGCCAGGCCCTAATCTCTCTCAGGAGGGCAGATCTGGAGTCCGTTCGGGGCTCCGAAGAGGGGGATTCGTCGCCGTCGTCATCATCGACCATCCTCTGTCACCAATTTCATGATGCTCACCGCCGTGTGTGAGTAATTCCATCGTAGGCTTGCTGGACGGTGATGGGTTGGATGAGATTTACCATGTAATCAAGTTAGTTTTGTTAGGGTTTGATCCCTAGTATCCACTATGTTCTGAGATTGATGTTGCTATGACTTTGCTATGCTTAATGCTTGTCACTAGGGCCCGAGTGCCATGATTTCAGATCTGAACCTATTATGTTTTCATGAATATATGTGTGTTCTTGATCCTATCTTACAAGTCTATAGTCACCTATTACGTGTTATGATCCAACAACCCCGAAGTGACAATAATCGGGATACTTCTCGGTGATGACCGTAGTTTGAGGAGTTCATGTATTCACTATGTGCTAATGCTTTGTTCCGGTTCTCTATTAAAAGGAGGCCTTAATATCCCTTAGTTTCCGTTAGGACCCGCTGCCACGCGAGGGTAGGACAAAAGATGTCATGCAATTTCTTTTCCATAAGCACGTATGACTATTTACGGAATACATGCCTACATTACATTGATGAATTGGAGCTAGTTCTGTGTCACCCTATGTTATAGCTATTACATGAGGAATCGCATCCGACATAATTATCCATCACTGATCCAATGCCGAAGAGCTTTTCACATCTTGTGCTTCACTTATTTACTTTTCCGTTGCTACTGTTACAATCACTACAAAGCCCAAAAACATTACTTTTGTTACCGTTACCTTTATTATCATATTATTTTTCTACTAAATACTTTGCTGCAGATACTAAGTTATCCAGGTGTGGTTGAATTGACAACTCAACTCCTAATACTCAAGAATATTCTTTGGCTCCCCTTGTGTCGAATCAATAAATTTGGGTTGAATACTTTATCCTCGAAAGCTGTTGCGATACCCTACACTTGTGGGTTATCAAGGCCTCGGCCGGCCCCCTGGGCTCATGAACCGGGTGTAATGCCCCCCATGGGTCCCGGTTCGTGAAGAACCGGGACTAATGGGCTGGCCAGGCCCGAACCAAAGCCCTGTTTTCTACTAGTGAGAGTCAGAGATATATTGCTCCAGAAATTTATGGTCGAGTCTCAAAATGAGTGAGGGAGACTAAATCATTGGCCGACGTGTTGCCATACGGTGGCCGGGCTTTGCACATTGGCACGGAGCTGTCACCAGATGCGCTTGATCAGTACATAATCTTATGGACATGAGTTTCGACCATTACCCTTGACGATGGAACTCCGAATTCGGTGTGTTGGGCTTGGGAGAACAGTGGATGTTTCTCAAACCAATCGGCGTATGCTGCGAGGTTCATGGGGTGTCAAGTTTTGCCAACTGCGGACTTCACGTGGAATTCTAAGGCGCCGCTGCGGTGTCGCTTTTTCAGTTGGCGGGCACTGAAGAATAGGTGCTGGACCTCTGATAGACTTGCGCGGCGCGGCCTTCCTCACTAGGCAGCCTGCCCCATGTGCGATCAACATCAGGAAACCATGCAGCACGTGATGATGGAATGTAGCTTCGTCAGGCAGATTTGGCTTGTGGTGAGTAGACTAACAAACAAGGTGGAGCTGCAGCCCAGACATGCATGGTGAGACTCTGGAGCAATGGTGTATGCGACAAGATGGGGCCTCGCCTAACCGCAAAGCCCAGAGAGCTAAGTGCCTTCTGGTGATGTGGATAATCTGGAAACAGCGGAATGACGTGGTATTCAATGGAGCGACGCCATCATTTCAACGTTCCATGCAGCGGATTCAGGAGGAAGGACATTGTTGGGCGAAGGCAGGGCTCTTCAAAGAGGATAACATAGGGTTTGACGTCGATCTTGTAGCGTGGGAAGAGAGTGAGTAGTTGCTTTATGTAAACAGAGGGTCGGCAGTAAATCCGCATGTAAATAAGCTTGTAAAGGTGGATTCGGGTTTGTACCCTTTCTTCTATAATGAATGATACACACTCTTCTCGTGCGTATTCGAGAATTTTTTTTGTCTCAATCCCCCGTCGATTATTATGTTTCTTCGCATCTCCATGTATGTTTAAAATAATGGATAAATAAGTTTGCATTTGTGTTTCAAAAAAGCCATACTTCTGATTCAAATATTTACATTATGTCAATTGCTTTACCTTAATTTTAAAATGATTCCAATAATAATTTGAAGATATTCAAAAATCAAAAATATTATTTTTTGGCTGTTTCAAAATATATTTTTCAGACTATTTCCTGTAATAGTGAAAGTTTGAGGAGGTTTTTCATGGGAATCACTTATGCTATCCATACATGTTAGAGCATCTCCAACCGGACCCACTTTGCCCCCATTTGTCCGGGTAGACATCTAGGATGATGCCCAGACATGACATGGGACGAGAGAAAAATCCTACCCTGCTAGACACCTCAAATCTTTTCCAGCTTTGCTCCCGAAAAGAGAAAGGAGACTGATCTTGACGTCCTTCGGGCTATCTACAAACCCTCAAATCCAGTCCATATGTGGAGAGAAAGTGAGGGAGTCTGGGCGTGTCCGGACAGTCCGCCACATCGAACGCGGCCCATCCCGGACCATTCTATGTCTTTCTTTTTTTCTTACTTTTATTTCTCTATCTGTCTCCATCCACAACAATCATATGTATCTATCCAGACAATTTAGGAGACAAAAATGCATGCACGGGCAAATAGGCGTTCAGAGCAGACACATCCGCGAAAATTCCATGCATGTAATTGATTATTCCATTGCTCATACTAAGGTTTATTTATTATAAATTTAGAGGTGTGCTGTGGACAGTATTACACTATTTTGCTGATGTTACTGTGGTCCAGCTTCTAGGCAGTGCCTGCTTGACCCTTGAGCCACGAGATAGTTCATTTTAGGTTCAGCACCTGCCGTTTCATTGGTCAGGCACAGCTCATTGTATCCATTTTTGTACCTGCCGTCATTGATCAGCCCCGCATGAGCAATTGCCTCCTCGCTTCTGAACATGCATGACCAAAAGAAAAGATCTAGCCGCACAGCTGGTAGAGAGCAGCATGTTGTTGTCCCGATCTTCTGGACGTTAATGGAGATGTGCCACTCGCTCGTTAGCTGATCGAACGGTGTCACGAGGCTACATATACGGGCCGGATGCACGAGCAAGGTCAGCAAGCGGCCAGCCATGAAGATGAACACACGCATCATTCCTAGCATCATGTTGATGCTTTCACTGAGGCAGCCCTCTTCTTCCCCGGCCACGCCTCCGTCGGTGATGCCAATGATGTCCAATGAGAATCTCCTTCAACTGGTGATGGGAGGCCTAGTCTTCAATCTTTCCCGTACACCTCAAGAAATGTGAGAATGCGGTTTGTTTGCCTGCGAGGCCCCGATGATTTGGCAAATATTTTCGCAGTCAATGGGTCTTGGAATATTCCTCTCATCCCATATGAGCATGTTGTGTAGGATCACACATGTCATGATATTTTTCAAGACATCCTTTTTCTAGAAAAGTGTAGGCCCCAGGCAATTTAAAAACCTTGCTTGTAGCACTTCAAATGCCCTCTCAATGTCCTATCTCCGAGCTACCTGCGCCTTGGCGAAATGCTCAAGTTTTGAGGTTCTACGATTAGAAATTGTATTCAAAAGTATTAAAGAATGTTGACCAAGATGGATAAATGCCATCGGCCAGATAGTAGAGTTGGTCACACTAATGGGAATGGCCATTCAACATAAAGTTGTAAGGTGGACAAATGCCATCAACTAGCCTAAAAAACACGTGAGATCTCTGTAAGACATTGATGTGATAGATCCTCGCAACCCCAAATAGCTATGGCAAAGCGAAAAATCTTCGGAAGCAACAACTTCAAAAATAATTATTGGATCATTGCAGTGCCCATGAATTGCTATGCCAAGTTGCACGGGAAATTATTCCATCTTCGGTGCATACAGACAATACTCACTAGCATCCTAGACCGGTATTTTTGCTTCATGCGTTGATAGAAGCCTTGCCGTTTCCCCGACATGGATGCTGGCAAATACCGCTCTCCGTAAACACTCTCGCCACCGTTTTAGTGAATACTTTCCTGCACTTTATGATTGTATATTTGGACATCTCAAAGACACTCATCCAATGTATCTGCAGGAGCGTAATATGCAACCATCCAAATTGCTGCGATCACCTTCTGACAAAGGGGGGAAATCAAGGATACCGGCAACATTCCCCCGTTGCTGGAAGAAAAGTTCATGAGCTTCCATGTGGTCGGCAATTCAACGGAACAACCTTTAGGCCATGTGGAAGCATTGCCGGAGCACATACAATGAGAAGGTATGACTCCCAGTGCACTATCGCACGACCAACCTGTGACCCGTCATGCTTCATCTTGCCATTTGAAATAAATGTTTGAAAAGTACTGTTAATCATTTTCTTAAAAACGCCAGAAGATATATTAATATCATATGTATATTGTTTAGTAAAAATTCTTCAAATTTTGACCAGGCTGTATTTTTGTGTTCCAAACCTTAGATCTTATTTTTTTTAGCGGTACTACATCCTCCGTCCTATAAAGCTCTTATATTATGAGACCGAGGCAGTACTTTGTATTGTAGCTTGGCGCAGAATTGTTTCTTTAGGATGCTGTGGTGCAGCTACCAGCCTACTGCACTAAACTGGCCTGTGTCTCGAACTAGAATGGCCGGCCTTTCGAACGATCGATTAGCCAGCCCACAAGTGAGGTACGGTGTGGGCCCGCAATTAGTGCATTGGATCCAGTCGTTTTCGTTGTCATGTGCAATTCATTTTATGGGTAGGTGTCCATGCTGCAATGAAGGAAGAACGTGGGTCACGTGATCGCACGTACACTTTTGTACATCTGTCTAGTCATCATCCATGCGTATGTGCACGTGTCCTTATCTGCTCGCAGGCAGCGATGTCCACTCGTTACGTGATCCATCCATCGGTGTCACGAGGCTACATATACTGCTGCCTGCTGATGGCTTCAAACGCACAAGCAAGCTCGGTAAGCACGCCATGAAGATGAAGAGATGCATCGTTCCTAGCATCCTGCTGATGTTTTCACTGGAGGCAGCGCTCCTCGTCGCCGGTCGCACCTCCGCCGCCGACGAAGTGGGCGCCATTCTCCTGCCGAGCCAAGGCCAAGGTACGTTAACGGCGGTGCATGCCGCGCCTGAACTTCTTTCTTAGTTCAGATTATTACTAGCTCCTAGTGCCTGAAGAAACTGATAAACAGCTAACTGGGGCCTTGGGCTTGCAGAGGAAGCAGCCATGGCGGCGGCCAAGAAGAGGCCGTGGAAGTGCTGTGACCAGGCGGTGTGCACCAGGTCCATCCCGCCGATCTGCAGCTGCATGGACCAGGTCTTCGACTGCCCCTCCACCTGCAAGTCCTGCGGGCCGTCCATGGCTGACCCGTCCCGCCACGTCTGCCAAGACCAGTACGTCGGCGACCCCGGGCCCATCTGCAGGCCGTGGGAGTGCTGCGACTCGCCTACCTGCACCAGGTCCAACCCGCCAACGTGCCGCTGCGGGGACGAGGTCGACAAGTGTGCTTCGACCTGCAAGACCTGCCTGCCGTCCAGGTCCCGCCCTTCCCGCCGCGTCTGCATCGACAGCTACTTTGGGCCCTTCCCGCCCGCATGCACGCCGTCAGAGGCTGTTGCCGCCGGCGGTAACTAGCATGCGCAGCACACGCGCGTTCATCACCCGATCAACGCCGTCGAGTGTCCTCATACCCTGCTGCAGCAGCAGTGTCTAAGAATAAAATAAAAATGGATGGTCTATATGTGTGGTGGACACAATTATGAATAAGACAACGTAGCAATGTTCAATCTTTATAAATGAACGGTGCAGTTTTCTTCGGTTTCACATAATGTTTTTTCCTAAAGTTGTCAATAGTGGTGGTATCTTAGGGAATTTTCGCTGCAAATCTCCCGCAACCGTTCAGAAGCGAAAGCCATTTAACGTGAATCTGTAACGGTACGCGGCGCGGTCCGAACGTACTTTTTTTTCCAAAACGGAGACAAACATGAAACATGGAGAGTTTAGCTGGGATCCGGACATCCGTCTTTTTTTTTTCGGGGTAAAGGGAGATTCTATTACGATAAAGGGAGATTCTATTACTTAAGGAGGCAAATCAGCCAAAAACAAGCTTTACAATGTCACTCAATCCTGAGCCCAACCATACTGTAGTACGAGGGGTGCTCCTCTCATATGCAACTAATGCATGGCTGACTTTATTTTGCGAACGACTAATAGCAATATCCCTGTGCAGATGGCGGAAGGCCGCTGCTGATGGAAGAAACGTGATTAGCGTTTGGCGGAAAGCTGCAATGAGGCACTAGTGTGTTTGATGGAAGCTACTCGATCCTCAACCAGGTTCCGTCGGCGCCGACGCACCCCTAACCTCAACCCGGTTCCATCGGCGCCGGCGCACCCCTAACCTCTTCTTCTTCTTCTTCCTCCTCCTCCTCCTCCTCCTCCTCCTCCTCCTCTTCTTCTTTTTCCTCCTGTTCTTCTACTTCTTTTTTTTTCATCTTTCTTCTTTCTTCTTAACCAAACTAAATATAAACCTAAACCTAAAAAACATAAACTAAACCTAAACCAAAATAAATCTAAACTAAACTTAAACTAAAGTAAACCTAAACTAAACTAAATCTAAACCTAAACGTTAAAAAAAGAAAAAAAACTAAACCAAATCTAAACTATAAACTAAATTGGAAAAAAAGAGGGGGAGGGGGCACACCGGAGTGGGGGAGGTGGAGGAG